TTAGTTTAGGAGGTAAGGTGCAGTACAGCATGTTGTGATCACTGTTGTCGAGTTTATCCCCCACCTCTATCGAGATCGGCTCTATTTTGTGGCAGAGGACTAAGTCGAGAATATTGTTATGTCGTGTTGGGAGGCGTACGTACTGCTTCCATCCTCCTGCATCTATAGCTTCTAGGAGCTCACGATGTATTCTAGGTCCAGTACAGGTGTCCCAGTTCACTCCGGGGAGGTTGAAATCGTCAAAAACTTCTTTTCAGTCAAAAACTGGAGTAGATACATGCTCTAGTATTTCTCCAATAGCCGTATCAGTTATTTTAGGTATGTGAGGGGCTCTATATATACATCCCACGAGAATTTTATTTTGGTTTGTGTGGAGGCCTATCCACTTAGATTTTGGGAGCTTGTCGATAGTTGGGTTTGTAAAAGTGTTGGAGTCAGTGGATTTGGAGGCATATATCAAACACTCGCCTACTCTTTTGTCCACTCTCTCATTCCTGCGAATATCGTAGTTAAGAATTACCAGCTTTGTGACAAGCATATCACTAGTTAGCCAGGTTTCAGTTACCAGGATTAATGTTGACCGTTCCATGAATACCAGGCCGCGAGGTCAGGTTATTTTGTTATGGAGGGATGGAGCATTTAGGAGCATAATGTATGGAAAGCTAGGGTTGTTGGCAGGATAATTAGTAGTTCTTCTTCTTGCTGTCCCTAACTCCTGAATGGCTATGCTATGTTCGGAGGGATTCTGAGATGGGACGATGTCTGCGTGTCTACTGTCCCCCGAATAAGTTGTGCAGCCAGGTGGGCAAATGTTTGCTGCAGCCAAAAATAATCCTGTTGCATATATAGGTAACTAGCGTCATTACATGGGTATCTGTGATCATTTCTCGGTATTAGATAGTGTGTTTAACTTTTCAGGTTGTAATTTAAGGCGCTTAAATATTCTGTTTTTAGACTGTCTTGAGGGTTGTTCGTGCTGGGTATATCGCAGTCGCACATTCGTTGACTCATTCTGTGCTGGTGCGTAGAAGGACCGTGAACCAATCTATGTCCGTTATGTAGATGGGGCCTTACATAACTACTATGTGGGTCCAGAAATAAATTCCAATCTATATGGTACCTGGTGGTGTCCCACCAAGTCTTCAGTGTGTTCTAACTATTCGTTTTGTGTCCCGTTCTCAGGTTATGTGTGCCTATAGGCATATTACACCCTCGGTTATTACGGAAATCATGAGTCTCATTCCGCTGGATTAAAGTTGCAAAATTGTTGTTGTCTTAGCTATAGATTAACGAGTCCTAGGATTTCACGTCCAACCACATTTGTTCAGACTGAATTGTAGATTCTATGAAGACGACCAAGCAATCGCTTTATCTAATTCATTCTGCACAACAATCTGGAAGTACCCTAGGTTATCACGTTGGAATGTTTAATGGAGCGCATAAAGAAATATAGAAATAGTGTCTTCGCATTAACAAAAAAACTCAAGTATGTTTTGGATGGATTACAAATACTTGGGAAAAAAATAAAGCTTGAAGTAATTCCCCCATATAACTTTGGTGTGTACGGCATCGAGTCTTATTCTTGATTTATATGCAAATTTGGTAATAATTTAAAATAAGTGATACACTTGTTTACTTTTGTCAGCATTTTCATCGTAACATCACAAGTGAATTGTACTCAATGTAGACCAATAATAATGACAATTTATATTTTCTCATAAATGGGTGTTTTCAAGAAATGCATGAGTCTTGAAGTATTATAAATCAATACTTTTTTATTGGTATGAAGGTTATTTCACAACTGTAATCCAGGTTGCGTCGTGGGGAAAAGTAATGCATAATTCATGAGGGAATTGTAAGATATGGAACCAATAATGTTTGCAGATCGTTTGTCACTGTAAATGGTCAAATATCCACACAAATGAAAAGGCACAACCTGAGAAAATTTTCTCGTACATAAACTTCAGGAATAAAACATCCCAAACCCGACTACTGACAATTACATAATCTAAGAAGATCAAGAAAATGCAGGAAAAATACGGATTGCTTTGTTGTGTTGCTATATTTTGATTAAACTAGCGTATACGTATATCCTAATACTTCTTCTCGTTTATAATTGTGTCCTAACATTGTGCTTACTCGACACACACAACGTAAATCAGAAGACACTTGAGAAGGTGTAGGAATGCGTATTCTCGCCGTAATCAAAATTCAAAAGTCGAGCGAGTACAAAATGTATCAATTGTTAACATGCAAGATTTAGAGTAATAAACAAATCGAGGTACAATTACAAAATGAAAGTACGATGATGCGTAATAAAACGGGTCACCACAGTTTCTCCCAAGTCTTTACACAGGAGTCGACACTCCCCGTAGGATCAACTCTATCTGCATCGGAGGAACACGGGATACATTGCGTTGACGTCGACGAAGACATCGTGCTCAAGTACCTAATGAAACTTGATCCAGGGAAATCAATGGGTTCTGGTAATCTTAGTTCAAGGCTTCTCAAAGAGCTATCAGCTCATATAGCCACGATCTTCAAGCTGTCTTCCCCAAATGTAGTGCTAACGCGTGACTGGAAAGACACCACAGTAAACATTATCCACAAAGAAGGATCAAGGCAAAGCCCTTCAAACTAGACATCTATAAGTCCCACAAGCACTTTAATCAAAACACTGGAGAGAATCGTCAGGAAAAGTATCATGACATATCTAGAAAACAACAGTTTGTTATCCAGAGCACAGCATGGCTTCCGAGGAAATCTATCATGCTTGTGTGATCTCCACACTGCAAGGGAAAGCTGGGTCAAATGAAGGGACAACGGAAGACCCGTTGACGTCGTCTTCATAGACTTCAGCAAAGCCTTTGATAAAGTACCTCACAAGAGACTACTCATGAAGTTGGAAGTCCTGGTATCGAAGAAAGATTACTAAACTGGCTCAGGGAATTCCTCATAGATAGGGGGCAGAGGGTTAGGATCAACTCAAAACTCTCCTCTTGGACAGTAGTGCGTAGCGAAGTGCCACAAGGCACGGTACTCGGACCTCTCCCATTTATTTTGTATATCAATGAGATATCTTTGCTCACCGGCTCCCCTATGGTCCTATACGCAGATGACTTAAAAATCTGGAGAGCTGGAGGGTGACAGTGATACGCTTACGTTGCGAAATGACCTCAAAAAACTGTTAGATTGGTCCAAAGAATAGATGCTCTCGATCAACGCAGCGAAATGTGCAGCCGTGAGCATTGGACACGCAAGCATCAGCTCCTACGAACTATAGGGAATAACATTTCCATCAGTTCAGACTCACGTGGACTTAGGTGTCATAGTTAGCCACGATTTAAAAACTACAGAACACTGTCGCGCGGTGGCTGCACGTAGTTTCAGATCCTTATGGGCAATTCTCAGAGCCTTTACTAGAATCACCAGAGATATGTTCACCTCCTTATATACATCTCTGGTGAGGTCAAGACTAGAAAACTGTATCCACACAGCCAGTCTTTGTCTTAAAGGGGACTCACATATTCTAGGAAGGGTTCGATGGAAGGCAACACGTATAATTCTCTGCATGACTAACTTGTCATACATAGATAGGAATAAACACATTATTATTATTAAAGACTAGACGGTTTAAGTCTATTCTCCCTGTCATACTGTAGGCAGAGAGGAGATTTATTCACAATGTTTAAAATTTTACATAATGACTACGGACCTGATATAATCTCATTTTTCTTTCCCACCAGGTCGAAACAGCTTAGAGGACATGGCGGGACAGTTCAAAAGCCAAAAAGAAATCGTATTGTTGTTCAGTACTGGTTCTCACACTGAAACATAAATTCTTGGAACCGACCCCAGAAGAATTGGTGTCTGTAACCTCAACTGACTCATTCAAGAAGGGTTTGCACAAGCACAGAACTTTGATAGTATAGGATTAATATAGGCTCCAGGCCTTCTATCTTCAGCCAATAAATCCAAATCTTAGTCTAAAAGTCTCATCCCCAAAACGTCATATTTTCAGATTTTAAAATTTCTAACTTTTTTCAATGTTTGATTATAGTTTGATTCCACACTGTATTTTAGGTACAGGTATGGAATTTTCAGCATGTGATATCAGTAGCCCGAGTTTTGCAGTTCAACCATTGATATCAGGTGTGCGTCGGCAGGGGATCGAACCCCGTCGGTGGCACAGTGGCTAGGACTCTCGCCGACCATGCACATGATCTGGGGTTCGATCCCCTGCCAGCGCACACTCGATATCTATGGTCGGCCTGAATTTGGGCTACCGATATCCATGCTGAAAATTCCACACTTGTACTGAAAATACGGTGTGGCATCAAGCTGTAATCAAAAATAAAAAAAATAAATAAATAACCGTGTGCACGGTCGGCGAGATTCCTAACCGCTGTACCATCTATGAAAGCCTCACTCTACTATAAATCACATAGTGATTAAGTCACTTACAAGTTCGACGAAACACTGTACACGAACTCTGGGCCAGAACAGGCATTTGACAGCCTTAAAGTGGCATTTGGCTCCAGAATATCTTTTTGTATCCCATGACTTTAACAAACATTCAGTAGTTACAACTAACTCAACCATTGTAGCCTAGTGTTTACTTTTCCAGTAGCTTTCTACGACATGTGTCAGACAACCCCTTTTTTCTGACGGATGAAATAAATTACATGCAGTAGAGAGGGTTGCATATGTGCATTGAGACAGGGTTGATTTTTAAGTGGATTCTATTGCCAGTTATAAGTCGCATGACACTGGCCATTTTAGTACCACCTGGTTGTAATTAAGTTTCCATTGAGTCAAAAGAAGTTGAGTCAAACAACAGACTACATCATATATGGAATGATAAACTCGAAATTTGATTTCATGTTTCTAGTCGAAAAACTGAAACTGATAGTCTTCACTTACACCGCGACTTATAATTAGTCTCGTTACTTCAACGTTTCGGTGGCTTGTTAAGCAAATAATGAATGTGATCAGGAAATATGAGTGCTGGTAAAAGGAAATTCACTCAGCATATTATTCCAAACCCCCAGCCATTTAAGTCAAGGGAACATAATTCATTAGAGGAGAATGGCTTGCCGGATCAGGTATTTTGTCGTGAAAAAATCCTAATTGTTTGATTTTCGTTAGTGGTGTTCATCAACCGTTATGCCGATTGATTATGAGGAGTACATCACGAAAAATAAAACCCTTATAGTCAACGATCTGTATCGTGAAACCATACTGTTTCCTCAGGATGACCTGAAAGTAAGTCCAGGACTTTTTCTCTGTATTCCATTTTCAGACTTACCTATCTTCCTTCACCATCAGGTGTCATAAGTGAAGGTCCACTTAGGTTATTTACACTTTTTTATGACGCGAAATGATGAGGTGATATGTAGGATATATAACATATTCTCTCACCGACACATTAATCATGTCGTTGTTTGAGTTCATCTTCATTGTTATGTTTCAACCTAGTCTTGAAGCACAGTTAATTCTTGGAAGTGTGGAGTTTGCTTTTGATGTTTCCTGATCCCACTTCAGTTATATGCACAATATGTTTTTCACATTCTAATATCCATAGTAATTTTGAAATCGTCTGGTGTTACATTTAGTGTGCACCAAAGTAACTTGTATACATGCAAAAACATATATATTCTCTTATATCGTGAAATGCTTTAATTACTTACGCCACGAGTTTAAGGATCTGTCATCACCTTCTTCTCTTAGTTCTACTAAACCCTCTTTTGGACATTTTGTCTCTACATATGTGGTAGTTTCACTGCATTTCGGCTGTATCCTTTGTTTCTCCACCTTTAACTAAAAGCAACGTCAGTTTTCAATCCTCTCATTGGCACTAGAAGACTAAATGAGTAGACATAAAAATAAAAATATAGCTGCTTAAATTCTTGTTTTTTTATAGTTCTGTTTAGCATGCTGAACAAATGTGCGTTAATTTTGAAGTACGCTTTGCATACAGAGCTAGGCAAAGTTAAACTGTAACAACAGAAGGCAAGAGTCAGGCAACAGATCATTTATTAAGGAAATCAACGCATATTTATATATTTGCATGTACATTACTATGGATATTTAAGCAAACAAACACAGTCTTCCGATTGGTTGTTTCTCACGTAAAGTTAATCTTTCATCTATTTGTGACTGTTTCTTGAATGTCAAATCCTCTATATGTTAACTGCATCCGCCTATGCAAAGTCAATCTTTGTTCACATTTTCTCACGACAAATCTTGGGAACGTAAATATTGACGTAAATTACTGTCCACCAATTTGGCTAGTAGACAGCTCTCACCACAAAACTATCATAGCCGAAACCCTAGTGACCTTAAACAACCAATCATTACTTGGATACAAAAAAGCCGCGTAATTGTTGAAAAATACACTAAAAAGTATTGCAAACTTGATATTTCACTGATTAGGTTTAGCTTATGTGTTATAAGAATGTCCCTCAGTCAATACACAGATGATCTATAGGGAAATCGTACCATCTGCGGTTTACGCATTCATCCAGTTGATTGTAGGTCATGATTATTTCCGGTTCATTGATATTTCTGACATTATTCCTCAAGTTACGCTAGACTTTAACTGTAATTCTAACTTATGATCTTAAATTTAACCCTAATCCTAACCTTAACCGTAGACTCTTAATCTTAAAAGCCGTAACCCTAAATAACAACATACATATGCAGAAAAGGGCCTTGCAAATGAGTAGAATACTGTATTGATCCTCTCCAATTCCAAAAAGGCTGGCATGACTTGATTTCCGATGATATTTCGTGGCACTCCCTGTGTGTAATCGTTTCTTGAAGGCCAACGTTTAAAAGACCTTGACTTTGGCTATGATACCTTAACTTCGCCCAGCGTTGCATTTCCCCGTATACATATCCACCTTTTACTCTTGTGAAAAACCACACTTTGAATAGTATAACAGAGATACTAGAAAATGCTTGGATGTTATTTTTCC